AATGGGACCAAGACGCACGCTGCCTTTCAGCATGCAAAACCATTTTTTCAGCTGTTTTGTAATCCATAACCAAACAGCCATGTTCAAACCACAAGAGCTGGTCCAGCGAAGATTTTGCACCCATGTGACACGTTCCATTGATCACAGTGAGGTTCGCCCCAAACTCCAAAATCAACCAGAGAGGGATAATCAGGGGCCCATTGTCTTCCCTAATCAACGTCCCTTTCTCTGTAATCCTCATTGTCACACCACCAAGCGCGCTTTGCACCATAACAGTAGTGTCTGGTAAACATTCCCATGGAAAAAGCGTCCGCACAAGATGCGTAGCAGCTGTATCCACCAACGCCACTCTCCCTTCCTGCTGAAGCAGCCCAGAGCCACATAACATTCGAATACTGGGATCCCCGCTTGATGCCGACTGTTCTGATGACAGCTTCATAGATTTCAGCACTTCTAACGCTTCAACAAGGACCTGATTGGCCGTTGATGGCGATGAGGGACTTGCAGAACCTTTATCCAATCCCGCATTAGCCGTCTCATCTCCCCCTTCAGCTACCTCTGCCTTTTTGGCATTTCCCCATTTCGCACCTTTGCCGCCCTTTCCCCCTTTGGGAGAGTTCCCTTTAGATCTACTCCTCTCAGGATTTGAGTCCACATTGGAACTTGCACCATCCTTATATGGACATTGCGGCTGCAGATGGCCAACGGCCCCACACTCAAAACATCTTCCTCGCTCAAGGGAGTCTTTGTCATGGCGAAATTTGCAGCGGGATCCGAACTTGCAACCTGCATCGGTCTTCCCATATATCCAACAGAAAGGACGTTCACCATCTCCGCTGTACCTTTTTCCTTTCCCTTTGCCTTTGTCACCCTCCTCCGTCTCGTCACCAGTTCCCTTTTGGGCCTTGTTTAACCTGGCCCTTTTCTTGGCGTCCGAGTCCTGCTTCACCTCTTGTTCCCCAGCACTATGCAGTAGCAGTTCAAACTCTGCCTGTAACATTTCAGCTAGTTTTGTCGCAGTTTCAGAGGTCGGCGAGTAGTCCACCCCCAATTTCTCCCGAAAGGATGCCACTCTGAAATGAACCGTAGGGTGTTTCGCCAGCAACGCGGATGATAAACCATCCAATCCCTTGATAAGCAAGGTAGCGTCCGGCTCGGCCGCTCTCAGCTCCCTTAATCGGGAACGCCATTGCGCCCATTGACGCACTCCCTTAATGGCCTCTGAGATCGAGGTTGCTGGAGATGGTTGCACCAAGAAGTTCAACATTGTGCTGCGCTCATTTGCTCCACCTGGTTGGTAGACCGTCAGCAATTTGTAGAATATCATCACTGACCCCAACATTCGAGTGGAAACGATCTCGGTCTTCAATCTCTCCGGGATCGCCTGTAGCAGCAAAGACACCGCTCTCTGCTCCAACAAAACATGCACAGTTTGAACCACTTTGAGCCCTTCCAGCTCAGCCTTGATGCCCAACCTTTCCAGCGGAGAAACACTCAACCATTTGGCATACGCTAGACGCATTGCCACCACACTCTTCCTGTATCTGTCAGTGAAGACAACATTGGTTCGATCATTGCGATCCAATCACCCAGTGCCGTCGGATTGCTTGGTGTGTAGTCTGCCAAAGTTGGAAGGCTCATCACATGCTTCCCGAGAGCCTCCGGACGTTCGGTTCCAGAACTATCACCAGTGATTGGCATACCACGTGGCACCACTGCTCCAGGAAGTAAACTGACCCTACCACCAGGCCCTTGAGGTAGTCCATGTTCTATACCGGGCGTAACAGCTGTGAGCGGAACCTTTTCTAATTCCAACTTCCCAGCGACCATTTTCCACCGATACGGAACATCATCCACCATTGTATATCCGCCCGATCCTGCTGAGTTCTCTTGCGTTGCAGTTTCCCGAGCTGAAACAAAACCGGGCTGGTTCCCCACAGGTGCGGCAGAACCATCAACACCTGACGGCACGGAAGTAATCGGAACATGTGTTAAACCAGGTGGTCCACTTGCATATCCACCACTTGCAGGACCTCCCGTGGGGTAATTCAATGGAGGCAATCTGGAGGGTTTCTTCCCTTCAGCTACATGCATCATTGGCACTTCTTTTTCATCCTCCACTTGAACATCCCCCTTCCTGGACCCAGGCAAGGATTGAAGATCACAACCCTTTGGCAGGTCGTAGCCCTCAATAGGCAGCCATGACCCATCCGGCAACACAGTCCAAAAACCACCCATACCATCCGTGTAGAAAACTTGTCCTGGCAGGTACTGCTTCTCTGGAGTCATTCCTAGAGGATATGCCGTGTTTGCGTCCACCACTCCAGAGCTCCGTGCCCTTGAAGCTGACCCAGATGCAGCAGAGGTATAGCTTTTCTCCTCCACCCGATGCAACCTGTTCCCCAGCTCCTTTGTTTGCACAAGCAACTCTTTCAGCGCACGCTTTACCACCGCCATATCTTCAGTTTGCTCTTCACCACTAACATCAGGAATGAGTTCTTCGTCGGCTTGCACTCCACCAATAGTACCTCGCTCCATTTGGCCCATTAAGCCTGACGATGGTCTCTCAACAGGTGCAGGTTCCTGACCCAAAAGATCTTGCAGCGAAGGCGGCCTCCTCGTACCTTCACCACTTCTATCCCCTCCGCTCGCGGGAAGACTTGCCGGCCTTGATTGCCTAAGTCTCATTTCTTCTTGAGCCCGCTCGCTCCAGAAAGGATTTGCTGCTTGAACCGGAACCACTTCGTTTTCCACCTGAGGCGTTGGTTGTATCATTGCAACCTCCCTACCATCTGTCAGCGCTTGTACCATTTGTTGTCGATCTTCACCCCCATCACCACGATTTCCTTCGGCTTCATTGGCCGTTGGCGACAGTCCAGGCTCAGAGCGACGCCGCATCATGTCCATGGCGTTAAACAAACGAAAAATCTTTACCAATTCCGCAGGAAGCCTAATTTGGGCTCATAACCTACGGGGGGCAACCGAAGGAGGACAGGGAACAAAACAGTCAACCCCAACAGAAGCCCTTGATCCCCTGGACCAACCAACACCAAACCAAACCCAAAAGACCAAGCACCCTTTTCTCACTAAGTGCACTGTCATCTTGAGCCAAAAATTTCCGGGTACATTGACCCCTTCAACTCCCATCACCAACTCCTTTCTACACTACCAGTTGCAGCTCCGCATAGGGTTTAGGGTTTAGGGTTTAGACGCAAGGATGCCAAGGACGAAAAAGTCATCCGCTTGGGCTCGGAAGGCTTGGAATCGGGTTTCTCGATTCACCCTAAACTCAGGGGTGCGGGAGACTGAGATGTGGTGTCTTCTGGCACACAAACTCAGGTGTGGGCCCTTGCACTTTCGTTGCAGGGTTTAGGGTTTAGGGCTAGGGTTTAGGGCTAGGGCTTGGGGTTTTGCAGGGGTTGAAGCCCTCGGGCTCAGGGCTTCAGGGTTTTCAAGGTGTACAGGGTCCTTTTGCCTTGGGGTTGACAGGGTTACAGGGTTACAGAGTTTGCGGTTTGGGGTTTATAGGGATAGGGAATCCTACATTTGGGGGGGTTTCCGACATTCGGCTTACATCATGGGGGCTTTCGTAGGAAGGGAACATTACCACCCTAAACCCTAAACCCTAAACCCTAAACCCTAAACGGTCTACTACGAGTATTCCCTTTATTTTGGCGACCCGAGCTGCCCTCACTTGCCGTGGACAAGGCTTTTCCTGGTCTCGCCGACACCTCGCAGCAGGGTTTAGGGTTTAGGGTTTAGGGTTTAGGGTTTAGGGTTTAGGGTTTAGGGTTTAGGGTTTAGGGTTTAGGGTTTAGGGTTTAGGGTTTAGGGTTTAGGGTCCATGTGAACAAACTTTGGGTCTTTGGGGGGTTAAGGGTGTAGGCCATTCTCCAACCCCACGGCTTCGCCCACGCAAGCTGCCCCGAAACCCCAAAGACACCCAAACAAAAATCGCGCCCTTCTCCCCTAAACCCTAAACCCTAAACCCTAAACCCTAAACCTTAAACCCTGAACCCCCTGAACCCCAAGCCTGAGCCACCCCCCAAAAAAGACCCCCCATGAGCCGCAGCGACCTCCGAGTGCATTGCAGAGGGAGCCCCATTTGCTTCGAGGCCACCCTTTGGCTTCTTCATTCTTGTATTTGGGGGGGGGGGGGATGCTTCTCTGAATCTCTGAATGCTTCTCTCTGAAGTTCAGGGCTAAGGGTGCGATTCTCTGCGCTAAGTGGGGTGTTTCTGGGCGGGGGTGTGCTGGGGTGTTCCCTGGGCCACCACCTTTTCGTCTTTTCCTTTTCTGCTCTGTATGGGACAACGTCGGGCTCGCCAAGGCTTAAGAAGGCTGAAAGTCTGCTCTCCTGTCTGACGGCAACACTTTTACAGCGGATGTAGTCCTAAGCCGAAACGCTGCAGTGGCGGCGACGTGAAGCTCGCCCTGACCCGGCACATGGAGGGCTGCGTCGGGCTTCAGCCGTTTCATGCTGCGCGTAGCTTTTTCGAAGGGCTGCGGGGGCTTCCGTAGGTAGCGTGCCGCCGCAAGGCAGTTTGGATCTACAGTCTCGGGGGCTTTCAGCAGGTGCTACTTACATGTTCTTTGGTACTCCCCTGCTTCAGAAGCACGTTCAGGCCTTTGGGGCTTGTAGCAGATGCTGGTATGCACAAAGAACCCTAAACCCTAAACCCTAAACCCTAAACCCTAAACTCCCCACCAATCGCACACATGAGAGAGAGGGGCAGGGATTCAGGGAGCTAAGCTCCCGGGTCTGAAACGGAACCCTGCACAAAACACCCCAGCCTGCAACTTTGGTGGGGGGTTTAGGGTTTGGGGTTTAGGGTTTAGGGTTTAGGGGTTTAGGGTTTAGGGTTTAGGGTTTAGGGTTTAGGGTTTAGGGGTTTAGGGGTTTAGGGGTTTAGGGGTTTAGGGGTTTAGGGTTTGGGGTTTAGGGTTTAGGATTTACGGTTTAGGGTTTAGGGATTAGGAACACCTTCCGAGGCACTGGCCGACGCTGATGCCGCGAACGGCGCGGTGCGTCACTGATGGAAGGAGGGGCTTTGCAGCTTTCTGTTGGGGGTTGTTAATGCCTTTTGTGGGGTGTAGGGTTTAGGGTTTAGGGTTTAGGGTTTACGGTTTAGGGTTTAGGGTTTAGGGTTTAGGGTTTATGGTTAGGGTTTAGGGTTTAGGGTTTAGGGTTTAGGGTTTAGGGTTTAGGGTTTAGGGTTTAGGGGTTAGGGTTTAGGGTTTAAGGTTTAGGGCTTAGAACCTTCGGCTGTGTGGGTGTGCCGCGGGAGGCGTTGAAGGTCGGCCGGAGGTTCCCTCTGCCGTCCTTTAAAATCCCAACCTGCGTCCTTCTTTACCTCACGGCTCCCGAACCCCCTTCATCACCCAACTGCGACAAAGAACCCTGGAAACCGAAACCCTTGTAAACCCTAAACCCCTAATCCCTAAACCCCCAACACCTAACCCAAACCCTAAACCCGTAACCCTAAACCCCAAACCCCCCAACCCCCCCAAATCCTAAGCCCTGAACCCTAAACCCTAAACCCTAACTCCTAAGCCCTAAACCCTAAACCTCTAACCCCTAAACTCCTAAGCCCTAAACCCGAAAACCTAAACCCTACAACCCTAAACCCCAAACCCCTAAACCCCTAAACCCTAAAACCCCCTCTGCCCCGAGGCCCGGAAGCCGCCCAAGCCTGCGCGCCGCATGCAGGAGGTGCGCGCGAAGCCTCTGTCGGTTGCTGTCTTCAGTCGCGCGAGGACGCTTGGGGGGTTTAGGGTTTGGGGTTTGGGGTTTAGGGTTCAGGGTTCAGGGTTCAGGGTTTAGGGTGTAGGGTTTAGGTGTTTACGGTTTAGGGGTGAATTGTTGGCGGGCGACTGGTTTTACAAGTTGCCTTGGGGGCTTTCAATTTCGAGCTCCTGGCCCCAACGAAGCCTATCTTGGGTGGAGACCGGTTTTTCAGCTTTGGGGGTCTCAAAGCAGGAAGCATTGAAGCACACCCTAAACCCTAAAACCCTAAAACCCCAAAACCCCTAAACCCTAAGCCTTAAATCCCCCTAAGCCCTTTTACCGTCTGGACCCTAAACCCTCCCTGAATGAATTCATGACATTGGAGGCTGGGATGCACGATGCTCCCACGGCAGCTTCGAAGCATTCGCAGTGCTGCAACGGCGTGTGCCCCTTGCACAATCGGATTCGCCACGGCAAGACCAGGTCCGGCAACCCCTAAACCCCCACACCCTAAACCCTAAACCCTGGAAAACCAGTCGCCAAAATCGAACTACGACCAGCACCCCACTGTTCATTTCACTCCACTGACCTCCAATGCGGCAAAAGGGCATTTCTCCAAGTTGTCGAGGATCAGGCTGTCTCCGAGCCCCGCCTCTCTGCAGACCCACCCGCGACAGAGGCTACTTGGGACTTCTTCGGCAATGAAGCAAACCCGCTCTAACCGCCTGAGCCAGCAAAACATCACCCAGAGGGAACCTAAACCCGAAACCTAAACCCTAAACCCTCAACCCTAAACCCTAAACCCTCAACCCTAAACCCTAACATCAGCAGCGGATGCTTGATCGAAGCCGTGCGCCCCCGAAGCTGAATCTAAATATTTCATATTAACCTATATTATGCTATGATATATCATGTATCAACACTATATTTGTAGTGTAGCATAGTATAGTATATGAAATGAGACTACATAATATTCTAATATAATATAATATATTATAATATAATATAATATAATATAATATAATATAATATAATATAACATTTTTTATAATATTTTTATAATATTTTTATAATATTTTTATAATATAATATAATATAATATAATATAATAGAATAGAATATAATAAAAAAGTATAATATAATATAATACTATATTATATTATATGATTTTATATTATATTATATTAATATAGTACAATTCTACTCTATTAGGCTATGTTATATAATATTCTAGAATAATCTAATATATTTCTTTTCTCTCATATGACTTCCTTGCCTTGGAGGAGAGGCTAGACGACTCCACCCTGAGGCGCTCAGCCACGACGGCCTTCTGCAAAATTAAGGGGCTTCAGGATTTAAAGGGTTTAGGGTTTAGGGCTTAGGGCTTAGGGTTTAGCGTTTAGGGTTTAGGGTTTAGGGTTTGGGGTTAGGGTTTAGGGGGTTTGGACAGGGTTATGAGTTATTGCATGAAGCTCCCGGTCTTGAGCTTTGGTCCGCGTGCTGTGTAAGTTAGACGCTTACTGGTCGCCTGCTGTTTCGTACCAATGACAGGGTACAAGCTTTGAGACCGGCCCAAACGAGTATATGGGGCGTGAGGTTTTGAGGTTGTCTACGAACTGCTTAAGAACCCCCCCACCCCCCCCCAAAAAAAAAAAAAACACACATTCTTCCTTATTAAGGGTAACGTAGGGATTGTTATGTTTCATTCTTGTGGGGTTCTTAAGCAGATAGTAGTTGTGGGTTCTGTAGCTCCTCCCACTTCGACACCCTAAACCCGAAAAAGCACCTCGCTCTTCTACTTGAAGAAAGCTGCCCTTGAAATTCACGATGGCGGCTTAGAGAGTTTAGCGTTTGTCGCAAGCTCAACACCCCCAGACGGTAATATCTATTGTCATAGAATACTTATCATCGTGAAATATAGTGTCTTTTGTACATCATATTGTATCGTGCCTCGTCCTCAATCTGCGGTGCGGCTTGGTCAGGGCTAGCGCTCTGCAGCAGCCGGGCCAACCGCCTCTTACTTGAGGAGGGCTTCTCTCTTTGCTTCTTGCCACTTTGTTTGGTGCCCTCTCTACCCTGATCCGCGCGCTAACAAGAAGCTTGGGGCTTTGCGAGCTTCGACGGCGCTGAGTTTCTTCAGCTGAAAGGCTTACGAGGCCTCTGTTTCGAGCAATCATCATTGACCCTGATGCGAAATGATCCGAAGCCCTGCTTCCAAATGACTTGCCAACGTGAGACCCATCGAAGCGTTCACAACCTCGCCCCTTCAGCTCCATCCCACCCTTCGCCCTCTGCCGGGAATCTACAGGTTCGCCGCGCCTGGCTTTGAAGCCGCGCAAGAAGCAGCCCCATTCGATCAGGAGCCGCCTTAGGAGCCCAGGGCAGCTTGCAAATACGCTTGGCCACAGCGATGTCAGCGAGTGCAAACGAAGCCTGTTCAGAAGCCTCTGAATTTCTGGCGTCGGAATGTTGCACTGCATCCTAAAACGCTGCAACGAAGGAGCATCTGCATCTGAAAGGTCCCAAGCTGCAGACGCTCGGCCCCTTGTAACAGCCCCCCAGGGCCCTGACACAAGGAACCACACAGGCGCCTGGAAGCACCACTTGGAGGTTCATGGGTAGCGATAAGTAGGTTTACAAGTGAATACCCTAAATGAGGCGATAATCAGTTATGAATATAATTACCCTACTTCTAGCCCCACTTAGAACTACCCATGGACTCCAATGGACCTTCAAGTAGTAATCTAGAGATGTTCAAGACAAAGCGCCTTTCGGGGAGCGACTTTCAGGCCTCAGGTTTCTGTCTTGCTCAGGCTTCGGGGTTTCTAGGGGCCCAGGCCAAATCAGGATTGTGGCCGAGCTTCGCAATGAGCTACGGCGGGGGAGGGGTCCCTCCATCCATTCCTTGACACCCCAAGTTTCCAGACTCCACGTCGGAACCCGACTCCCCACCTCAAATCAAGAACCCCACTAGACCCCAAATATTGAAATCGCCCCGGTCGGGTCTCTCTCCTATCAGGGGTCAGGATGGTTGCAGTATGCGGGGCCCTCCCCACCCCTTCCCCCCGGCTCGCCATGGCCCACACCTGATACTGCGAAGATGTGGATCTTGATGGTGGGTGGCGGGGGCGAAGGGGCAAACAACAAACCCTCAAAACCTAACAACAACCTTATGAATCCGATAAAACCCACTCTACCCCAGGATGAAAGCCTCTTAAATCCTAATAGACCCCCTTACACCCCCTTAAGCCCGAAGAACGGTCCGATATCAGGCCCCAAGAAGCTGCCCAAACAGCCCTAAACCCTAAACCCTAAACCCTAAACCCTAAACCCTAAACCCCACTACCCCCAAAGTGCCGAAGGGGTGCCATCAGTGCCAAGTTGAAGATGTAGTGGCCGCAAACGTCCCAGCCTCAGGTTCCGAGAGTAGAAAAATGAGGTGTTTAGGGTTTAGGGTTTAGGGTTTAGGGTTTAGGGTTTAGGGTTTAGGGCTTTTTTGAGGGCAGTGTATTCGGGTACCCTGCATCCTCCCGCTGTTCGCCCTTTCAGGCACCTAAATTCCCTCCTTCCCTACTACAAGAACGAATACCCTAAACCCCTAAGCCCCTACAGCAAGGACTTTGGGATTTTGTTACCCCTAAGAAAGGCCCAACATCTTCCTGCAGCAATGCCGCTCAGGGGATCTTTGAAGCACACCGACCCATTGTTGTGGACACATGCCTGGGCTTCAAAGTTCTGGGTTTAGGGTTTAGGGTTTAGGGTTCAGGGTTTAGGGTTTAGGGTTTAGGGTTTAGGGAGGTTTGGGGTTTAGGATTCAATCGTTAGGCTTGAGGGTTGGAAACAAGCATCATGGGCAAATTTGTTCTCGCGGTCACACCTGCTAACGTGCTCTACGAACCTGTCGAAACGCTACAGAGGGGTCCTTTAAACCCTAAACCCTAAACCCTAAACCCTGAACCCTAAACCCTGAACCCTAAACCCTGAACCCTAAACCCTAAACCCTAATAGACTGTGGACTTTTGGTCCCTGTCTCATCGCGGGTATTGGTCTTGCCCTGGCCAGATACAGGCTGCTACATGCCCCCGAACCCTAGGAGTCAACCCACTTAAACCGAAACCTCTCAAGGATGGAAAAATCCCAAGGTCTGGTTTTCAAGATCCTGACCTTCCCTAAGAGGGCCGAATTTGGAAAAGGGAGGGACCGGCTAGATCTCTGCTTGGAAGCAACTTTGGTCGTGGAACTACGGGCTGCTCTTATTGTTCTTACCATCTTTCGCTATTGTGATTGGCATGATTTTCATATCTCTACCATTCTTACTCTGTATATTCTCACCATCATTCACTGCTGTTACTGGTATGATTCATGTATGTCTACGATAATTGCTCTTATTAACACAGTTTCTGGCTCCCAAGTTCCAGAATCTGGGAACTTTCGGCTGTGTGGGGCGCTCTGGTGGAGATTCTACGGTCCCATAGGGTTTGTGGTGACCTGCACAACCCCGAACTGTAAACCCGAAACCCTAAACCCCCAGGCCTCAACTCCCCGCGGGCATACAAGCCTGAACCTTTTTCCGTAAGAAGTATGTGTATAAGTAGAAAAAACATATATATGTATGTGTATATATATGTATGTATATATATATATATGCTTATATATATAGATAGCTTATGCAGCATCATATCTATACTTTTCTTTACATATTCTCGATGGAAGCACCTCCCAATGCTGCCTACAACCTGGAGCCTTCCCTCTCGACCGACGCCCCCTAAACCCTAAACCCCAAACCGCCCCCCCGAGCTCCGCGCACCAAACTCAGTATAGGCAAAGTTGGCATAGTGGTTGATCGCAATGTCCATCAAGCTCCGGCCTAATCACAAGCAATAATTGCCCTAAACCCTTGAATGTCGCAGCATTTGGTGAGTTTAGGCCTTCGTGTGGAGTTCAGGGGGATATAATAAGGGGGGTATACCCTAAACCCTAAACCCTCAACCCTCAAGGGGAAATAAGGGGGTATAAGGAGGCCGTCTCCCGTGCCGAGCCTGGGAAGTCTTGGGAGGATGGGTTGTCGCGAAGCCGAGGCATGAACGGTTTTTTTGCCATCAATCCAATGGGTTTAGGCTTTAGGGTTTAGGGTTGAGGGTTTGGGGTTTAGGGTTTCGGATTTAAGGTGCTTGCCGGGTTGCTTTCCACGTCGCCCATCAGTGCTCGAACATTGTAGACTCAGTTTTGCAATCCTCTGCCCTTGGCACATTGCCAATCATCCAACTTCGTACTTGGGCGAGCACGATCTGGAACCAAGATTGCAACCCCTAAACCCTAAACCCTAAACCCTAAACCCTAAACCCTAAACCCTAAACCCTAAACCCTAAACCCTAAACCCTGAACCCTGAACCCTAAACCCTAAACCCTAAACCCTAACTAGAGCCACTGGAGCTCGCCCCGAAGAAGTATGAGGCCCCGAACACCGGGAGCATGCGTTCACATGCGCGCAGGTTTGGATCTGACATCTCTGTACCATAGGAGGCTCTCCAACTTAAGGTTCACTCGTGAGGATCCCTCTTAGAATGCGGGTGCCTTATATCTCTAGAGGGCTTAGGGCTTTAGGGTTTAAGTTGACCCTTAAACCCTAAACCCTAAACCCTAAACCCTAAACAGGGTTTTAGGGTTTAAGGGATAACAAAGAGCCCCAGAGTTTCGAGACTTTGCCGGCAGCTCAGCACCGGGCCAAGGCAGTAGTTCGGCAGCGTCTGGGTCAGGAATTCAGCGGATTTGGTAGGGATTTAGGGATTTAGGGATTTAGGGATTAAGGGATTTAGGGATTTATAGATTTAGGGTTTAGGGTTTTAGGGGTTTAGGGATTTAGGGATTAGGGGCTTAGGGCTTAGGGTTTAGGGTTTAGGGTTAGGGATTTAGGGATTTAGGGATTTAGGGATTTAGGGATTTAGGGATTTAGGGATTTAGGGATTTAGGGATTTAGGGATTTAGGGATTGAGGGATTGAGGGATTGAGGGATTGAGGGATTGAGGGATTTAGGGATTTAGGGATTCGGGTTTAGGGTCTTAGGGCTTAGGGGTTTAGGATTTAGGGATTTAGGGATTTAGGGATTTAGGGATTTAGGGATTTAGGGATTTAGGGATTTAGGGACTTAGGGATTAAGGGATTAAGGGATTTAGGAATTGAGGGATTGAGGGATTGAGGGATTGAGGGATTGAGGGGTTTAGGGATTTAGGGATTTAGGGATTCGGGTTTAGGGTCTTAGGGCTTAGGGGTTTAGGATTTAGGGTCTTAGGGTTGAGTGGTTTCGTGGCTTGGTGGCTTTGGGTCTGGGGCCCTGGGATTGAAAGGCTGGGGGGGGGGCCGATGTGGGACCCTTGCGCAGCCACAGCGCAAGGGACCTATGCGGCCCTAAACCCTAAACCCTAAACCCTAAACCATAAACCCTAAACTCTAAACCCTGAACCCTGAACCCTCAACCCTAAACCCTAAACCCTAAACCTTCCGGCCCTGCAGGGCAGCAAGGTCCAGTCAAACACGCCCCAGCAAAAAGCGTGTGCCCCCGGCCCGAAAGGAGGATCAAACACAAAGAACTGGTTAGCCCAGCACCCATTTTCTAATAAGGGCACCCTTTTCTGGGTTGGTTACTTTGTAAGGGAACCTTGAACCCAAAAATGGGAAAAGGGTACCACTGGGCTACCAAGAAAAAATCACTCTGCACACCCTAAGCCCAAACGCTTAACCCTAAGCTCTAAACCCTGAAACCCAAAATCCCTAAACCCTAAACCCAAAATCCCTAAACCCTAAACCTTAGAGGAAAACCTTCCAGAAAACTGAGGGCACCGGCCCACGGGAACACGGTCTGGCCGAAGTCGAGGATGGGCCTAAAAGGGTTCTTGGTCGTTTAGGGTTTAGGGTTTAGGGTTCTTGGTCAGGACCGAAGATCAGATCACGATGAAGATGCTCATAGTCTGATATTACGTGGATGTGCAGTATTATGAATATTATCATTATGATGACTATTATCATTATGATTATTATTACCATTAAAAATATTACTATTATTGCTATTGTTCTTATTCTTATTCTTATAGTTTGAGCATCAGCTGCCAGGCCTAGCTGCGGATCACTGCAGAATCTCGTCCAGGCAGCCGAAGACACAGCGCTCATGGTGGCATGATACATCCCCCCCAGTCCCGCATCCCAGACGGAAGCTCCTAAGCTCAAGAACGAAATAATACTCTTTCCTTCAGAACCCCCCCCCCCCCCAACAAAAAATCATCTTCCTTGTATGGGTTATATGCGTAATATAGGTGTGATCACCTTTTATTCTCCTGGGGGGGGAGGGGGGGGGTTCTGAAGCAAAGAGGAGAGTAAGCTGAGGTCCGCCCTGTGCTTCTCAACCTGAAGCCTTCACGACATGCGAGTCTGGCTTTGCGGCTTTGTGCGACTTGGCGCGAAGCCGCTCCCAATGTTCAGGGTCTAGGGTTTAGGGTTTGGGTCTGGGGTTTACGTGACCCGTCGCAGGCATGGAGAAGGAAGTGCAGGGCATCGGTGCATGGGCGATGCGCTGGGCGCCCGGAGCAAAAAAAAGCTGGGTTCTGTAGGCCCGGCTGGGGCGGGTGTGGTGCCTGCTGGCTCAAAGACTTCGGGCTGTGAAGGATGTCAAAGAGAGAGAGCGTGTGTTGATGTGTGTGTGGTGCCTTGTGCACTTACCTAGAGGTCCATGGCACTTATGAGTAGGGTTAGAAGTAGGGCAAGTATGGTTATAACCTTATTCCGGGGACTTAAAACCACACTAATAAGTTCCCATGAACCTTCAAACCCTAAACCCTAAACACCCTAAACCCTGAACCCCAAACAGAAAACCCTAACAAGTACCCATGAACCTTCACTAGCTGCCAAAGGCCCGAGCTCGAGCGTAGGAAGCTCCTCCACGAACGTCCTGAGCTGGCAAGTGACGGTGCAGAGGTGTTAGCTGGGACGAATCTCGGATCGGCTTCCGGAAAAAAGGGTTTAGGGTTTAGGGTTTAGGGTTTCGGGTTTAGGGTTTAGGGTTGAGGGCTAGCTTCCAGGGTCTAGGAACTTCCAATGGCACATGCTGGTTCAGTATTGCGATGCAGGCTCGGAGTCAAATTGGATGGGGCGGGCACCCCAAAAACCTAAAACCCTACAGACGATACTCCCCTTAGAACCTTCATAAAAAACAATATGTTTAATATCCTCTAGGGTTTGTATATAAACAAAAATAAATAATAATTCCCAAGGGGGATATGCTGCACCTGCGAATGGCGCATGTTTCCTTCCCCGCAAATGGGCAGTTCTCTAAACTAGGGCCAGTAACTAGGGTGGGTCTTTTTGGTGCTGGACTGTATAGTAGGGGACCCAAAACGGGACCCTAAATTAGAGAACTGCCCAGATCGGTCCCCCCCGAAACCTAAGGATTGCAAGGCGTGGCTTGACAGTTCGAGTCTGCAAGCTTCAAGCTCCTGGTTGTGGGCTGAGGCCGCAACCTTATAGGTTCAGAACCTAAACATTGGAGCCCTGAACCCTAGAATAAGCTACGGATACCTGCCCCGGGATACCCTTGCTCTCTCGCTTCACTGAAGAGCTCAGCACCCAGCTCCAGAGTCAAGATCGCCAACGTGGAGATTGTGCCGGTGAAGATGTTCACCTGAGGATGCGCAGACCATTCGGGCCGATGCTCGCATCGACGTTTCCCACGGTGACAGCCAGCGAAAACTCCCAAAGCCCACAAAGCCCCTAAGGCCCCTGATCCAACCGAACCGAACACCCCAGGCAACTTCACCAACCATGAACCAGGTGAGGTAGAGCATGCGCCCAGGCTGCTTGAAAGAATTTCAGAACAGGGCGATGTGACCCTCCTGAAAAAAGAACTTCTGTGGCACATTCAACAGGGCGAGATGTGGGAGCCCCGACGCAGATCAGGGTCACGTAAGCCGTCGAGGGAACCGCAAACCTCAGCTGCGCAGCGCAGGTGTATCAGAACCTGCTCTTGGAATCTGGAGAACACACAAAGTCTTTTAAGCTACCGCGGCATGCCGCGGCGCGTGGCACGCCGTGGCCGTGCCGTGGCGTGCCGTGGCGTGCCGTGGCAGTTTCTAAACTAGGCTCGAAGGTTGAAGCGCCTCGCCGACTTCGGAAGAGAACGATTGTATATCTTGCTCTGCCCGCCTTGCACTGACATGAGTTCGGGTGACGAGTATTCAAACCAAGACTGGCCGGATGTTTTCTTACCAAGTCTTGCCAAGTCCTACAGCCTAAGAACTAGAGCCTGTCTCTGATCGAGTGAACTTCGCCTTGGCATGACTTCCGGCCACAAAAGCATTGAAGGAAGGGATGGTGCTGTGAAGTTCATAGCTGCTCCCTCAAGCCCTCCTGCCGCCCAAGCCCGGAGATATGCCTAAACAACCGTCCCAAGTCAGTCCCTGCCTCTATGCGAAACGGCCTCAGCTGCCCCCAACAACGCGGACCCACGAGAAACATAACCGTGCCCAGCGGCAGGGGCTCGGTGCAATACATCAGAGGGGTCATGCCTGGCAAGCTTTGCGGGGTTTCGCTTTTTCCGGGTGTTCTTCAGACCATCTTGGGGACTTGAGAGCAGGAAGTGCAGAACAGCCCCTCAACTGCCCATGGCTCGTACATAGCACATGCTCATGGGATGCAAGGAGTGCGCTTGGGAGTAGCTGCGGGGTCTGCCTGGGTTTGGTGGCGGGGGGGGTGGGGGGGAAGGGAGGGCGTCCTAAGGCCCCCCAAAGCATCTTGCCAAAGCGGCACAGGCCGTAGAAGAGCAGGAGCACGATGATCGCCGGAAGGTTTGCTCCTGAATATGCCATGGCCTGGCAGGAGTCGTCTTGGCACGCGATTTTGTTTCGTCACTCTGTGTTGGGATGGGTTTTTTAAAGGGTGATCTGTACGGAGGAAGGCTCGCCAGAAGCTTCCACAGAGCAAACCTTCTGCGACCTCAGGACGGAGATGTGGGCATTGGCGTCGCCAATTGCAAATGAGCTGCGCAAGCGCAAAAAAGAATAAACAGCCTGCTCTTTTGGGCCGCGCAGGAATGTAGCAATGTAGCACAGTACGCTGTCGTAAGTCTGCATGCAGCCTCGTGAGGCTTAGATCGGCTCTTGAGGCTCTTGGGGCACTTGAGGCCAACTCGCATCACGCGAGCTCACACAAACATCAGCAATCATCAGCATCTAACCAAGGGCTGCAAAGCGGCCGTGAAACCTGAGCTATGTTTTTCGCCGCGTCACTCACCGCGCGTCAACCGCCGACCCGTGAAACAACCAGGCCCGGCCGTGATGCGTTGGCATCCAGCCGCATGCTTGGTCCTGTCCTGGCTGAGTGTCTGAGCGCAACCCTTCTTTGTTTACTAGACTCTACGTGGAAGGCGCAGACGAGGACGGATCTCAATTCTGGACTCTGGACCCTTAAGGACGGATTGTGGACCAAGCAATGATGCCCAGATACTCAAGATCCCCTAGATGCCCCCCAGAAGAAGAACGCGCAAAGCTCCAAAGCTCTATGCTGGGTCTCACCTAGCAGCAGGCCGGCGTGTACTTTCTGAAGCTCACTGCCAACTTCTCGTGCCCATCTCGGCACTGTGGTTCGTGGCCTTGGGGCTGGGCTGCAGAATGCTGGGCGGGGGGGCTTATGCATTTGAGATATCGCACTCCTTTCGCCATCGATAAAAAGCAAGACCCAGGTATGCTAGCCTCGCCCAGCGGCTGGCGCAGACTGAGCCGGGCCTGTCCTTGCGGACTCGTCGTGCCTGCGCTCGGCACGGGCATGGCGATCCTGGCGCCTGTTGCGCCTGGTGCCTGGCCATGGCTCGGCTTGACCGTCTTTGTCACTCCAGCCCCAATAGCTTGTCTCGTTGGGGTAGAAGCCCCACCAGCCGTACCATGTCGGGTCGCTCCACCTCACCATGAAGGCTTAACACCTACAGCAAAAGCCTTCAATATATCTTTACAATACAATATTTTACCACTACGACCAACTACCACAGAACCATCAGGAAAAGCCCACCAAGACGCCTCCCTTCTCGGCGGCTCTTTCCCTTGTCCTTGCCCTTGCGCCGATTGTCGGCTTGCTTGTGAGTGGTTTGTGGGCTCTGTGGGCTCTGTGAGTTCTGTGAGCTGTGTGGGCTCTGCGTGCTCTGTGAGCTCTGTGGGCTCTGTGAGCTCTGTGGGTTCTGTGGGCTCTGCGGGCTTTGTGGGCTCTGTGGGCTCTGTTGTGGGTTCTGTGGGTTGTGGGGGTTCTGGAAGTTCTGGGACCTGTTCGGTGGGGACTTTATGTGCTCTGCCTCGGAGCTCGAGCTGCCGGAGCTGTCGGAGCTTGGGCTCAAGTTCTGGACTTCGGGATCACTGGGCTCACTGGGCTCACTCGGCTCAGCCTGGAAGGGCGGCGGGGAAGCTGGTGAAGAAGGCGTTTGGAGGCAGGGTCGAGAATGCGGGGGAGCTTGGGGTGGGGTCGGAGCATACTGAGCCCAGGAGTTTTGGGCAGCTGGGCCATGTTGGGACTGGATGGGCTGAAGAGGCTCCGGGGCCGCAAGAGAGGCGGGACATGTGAGGAGCAGGGGAGTGGAGACTTGAAACGGCCCACTCTCCTGCAGGGCAGCGCGCCCTGTGTGGGGGTTCGACGAATGATGTTTAGGAGTCTGCGGGCTTGGGATTGGGTGCTGGAAGCGGTGCAAGATGGAGAAGATCGCAACGCGCGCCTCCATGCCATGGACTGCCATCGAGATGTCCTGCGCCAGCAAAGCTGCCACGTGCGGCCCGTAGCGGATCACCTCCAGCATCATCCGAACGTCGTCCATGGCTTGGTGCGCCCGGAGGGCCACCGCGCGCTGTTGCTCGGGCACGTGCGCCATGTACATCTGCTTCAGGCACAGCTGTCCAGGCCGGCCGTACATCTGGCGAATGGTCTCGTTCTGGAACCTGCTCTTCCTGAGTCGGTTTCGTGACGGCGACAGCAAAGCATTGATGGAACCGCTACCATCTGTCAGACAGCGCACACCATGACATGGTGGGTGAGCTGATGCATGCCTCTAGCACTGGAGTACGCAAGGACAGATTGCGAAGTGCACTGGGTGTTGGTCATGAATAGTGAGCAATGGCTGCCACGGGTGCCCTGGACACCACCTACGTTCATGAACAGGCATGCACGCTACTTGCGAAGAACAAGCACAGTACGGCATTTACAGCACACGCTCTTGCAAGTGAAATGTCCCATAGAGGATAAGCTTCAGAGTAGCCACCGCATCTGCTGACACCAGGTGCGGGCACTGGCTCATGTCCAGACCCAAACGGACGATCTCCTTGTTTAGCACATAGTGGTCAAACTTGTCTCCGTTGTGGGCGATCAAGACGACCTTGCCGGTGAAGGCAGCAGCCCGCTGCAGGAAAGGTAGCACCTGAGTCGCCCAGAGCTGGGCAAAAACCGGGAGCGACCGGTCCGAAACGATCTCCTTGTGGCCGCTGTGCTCCGCAAAGAGCCGGGTGGCTTGGGACTTGACGTCCTGCCACTGGAACTCCGGTCGGCTTCGAAGTAGTAGAGACTCTCCCGTGATGAGGTTCACAGCCGCGAGCTCGATGATCTGACAACGCGCTTTCCAAGACCACTGGTCAGCTGTCTCATGCCAACCCAACGCTGCGTAGCTTCCATGAACATGGTCGTGGATGCACTCCAAGTCTAGGGCCACGAGGCCACAGCCCATCTGGGCTTGGTCTGGGCTAGGCAGGACCTGTCCGAGATTCGCCCGCGCCCACCAAGGAGACTGCGCAGGCGTAGGCATGGCTCCCGGCAGCATGGGCCCAGAACAGACCAGCGCTGGTCTGTTCTCTGATCCTACTTGCACTAAGGGCTCGAACCCTGCAAGCCTGCGGCAGGCGCGCAGCGCAGGGTCTGGACTCTACCTGCAGATCTACACGACACGCACATGACGGCCGAACACGTCCATGTGAAGCACCGGCAGAAACCGAACACACCCTCTCTTGGACTCTTGGTGCCATTTTCTGCGAACACGACCGCCGCCCGCTCGACCTCCTGCCTATGTCCTGAACTCATTTGCCCATCACGGCCTGGAAGGCCGCAAAGATGATGATGCAAACGACCAAAGGCACCAGGTAGTTCACAAAATCCCAGCCTTGCGGCACAGTAGGTTCTTCGGAAAGAAGAGTCCACTTCCGGGGTCTTTCTTGGATTTCGAGGCCCCCTTGGCTTGGGGAGCTTCACTTTGCAGTTCAAGATTCTCAAGGCTCCCCTTCAGGATGGTTCCGAAGACCCAAAGAGACTCTAGCAGCTCCAGATCACGAGGTTCGAGCCTCGCAAGCATACCCTACCAGGCTCTGCAAGAGGCTACCGGACGCAGCTTGGAGCGCAGCCCCCCGAGAACTTTAGCCTCTGAGGAAGTCGGAAAGAGCCTGCAAGACTCTGAAGGCACACGAGGTCCCGGCAATAGTTCGAAAACCAGTACATCACGGGCGAGATGCCTCGGGCCGCGCCAACCCAGTGGGGCCCTAAACCCTAAACCCTAAACCCTAAACCCTAAACCCTAAACCCTAAACCCTTGCAAAGAGCCGGGAGTCGGGGATCAGGGGCTCGGGCCGCCAACGAGAATGCACTTTAAGGGAGCCGTGGCTTCTCCTACATCCGCCGGCAACGTCACAGCCTTCTCCGTCGTCTACAGAAGCAGAGCCTTCTCCGTCGTCTGCAGAAGCAAAGCAAAAGAGGGGGGGGCCAGATGTCGATTATGAGATGATGGTTACTTTCGAATGGCCTCTAAAACACACCAGCTCTGCTCAAGAGAGCCCGGGTCACCCTTCCGACCCTTGCCTTTCGCCCTTTTTCGGCTCGGGATTGCGACTTTTGCGAACAGGGTTTCCGAGGAACGCCCTTCACCGGGCAAGCCAGCCCTGGCTTCGCGACACGTGAAAAAACGCACGAGCCCAAAATATCTCAAAAAGGCCACAGCAAGGGTAAGATCCCCAAAACTCCAAGCCCTGAGTCTCGGCCCTGAAGCCTTAGATCCTAAAAACATCGAGGCTCCCACCGGTGAGCAGCTGCTGGTGCCTGGCTCCCAATGCATTTCATAAGGGGGGCGGAGGGGGGCCCAGGGGTGGCGAAAGGCTTCAGAGAGCCTCAGGACGACCTGGTGCTGTCCTCAACTTTTGGGGGTGTTCTACTTGGAGGTTCATGGGTACTTCTACCAAAGGTAGAACTGAACTGTAAAGTTTTCTAAGTAGGTGAGAAGTAGACGTCTGATTGGGAGTATAAGTATTCTGTTGAGGTCTGATTGCTACTGTGATCTGCCGGCTGGCAGAAGCAGTTAAGAGTTGTGAGCTGGTTGCGACATGAATTGATGGCTGTCTGGCTGGGTGCGGAGGGCATGCTTGGTTTTGGGACGTCTTGGGTTTTGGAGGCGTTTGGGGGGGGGGGGGGGGGGAGTTCTTGGCTCTGACTACAGTGCTCGGGGCGTTGTAGGAGCTCAGGGTTTCCAAGACTTCGGTGAATGTCGATGTGGGATTGAGGGCATGTGCCGGAGGACCGGAACTCAAGAATGCTACCTTGAACTTCCTGAGAATACAATGCAAAGTGATGAGGGTGCTTGATCGATCCCCCTGGGAATCTGACTAATGACTGAAGTGGGGCTCCAATTATGTCACCATGAGGACGCAAAGCCCTTGAAACCTCAAGCGAAACAGTGCTAAACTTCTGCTGACACGCATGTCGTGCATATCCTCAGCCCTCGGCTTGCCGTTCGAGGCTTTCTCATGCACCAAATACCTCAGCTTCGTTCGAAGGAAAGCAGAGGCTTAGGAGCCTGAGTTGCATTGTTGCGGGTGCTGTGTGATCATAAGGATTCTACTACTTTGGGGTATATTAAAGGTACCCCTCCTATTCTTGGAAATACCCAAATGAGGCTTTCAGCTTTGAGAGGCCCAATGTTGCCTATGAACACTACCAGACAGTAGTACCCGTAGCGCACAAGTCCCAAGCCGTTCTTTCCTGCGCCCCCAAACCCTTAAACCCTAAACCCAAACACCTAACCCTAAAACCCAAAAACCCGTGAACCCCGAAACCCTAAACCCCTAAAGCCTACACCCAAAAGTCCCAAACCCTAAACCCCTAAACCCCTAAACCCCGAACCCTAAACCCTAAACCCTAAACCCTAAACCTTATCCGAGGGACCCTACTCCCGGCTTCCTGCTGCGAGGCAAGGCACACCACAAAGCTCGCTGGGATGAATCCCATGGCCAGGATGACTGGCGCGGTTCAGGTAGGGTTTAGGGTTTCGGGTTTAGGGTTTAGGGCTTAGGGTTTAGGACTTCGGGCTTCGGGCTTCGGGTTTAGGGTTTAGGGTTTAGGGTTTCGGGCTTCGGGCTTCGGGCTTCGGGTTTCGGGTTTCGGGTGTAGGGTTTCGGGTTTCGGGTTTAGGTTTTTTGGGCTGTATGAAGCTGGTGAGTACTAGTAGGGCCCACGAGTTAGGCTGAAGGGATTTAGGGTAGAGGGTTTAGGGCTTAGGGGTGTAGGCCCAAGTGGCCCCCAGCTGTTCTTGAATGCTACGGATGCACTGCTTCGAAGAAGGCCGCTTTCTCAAGAGTGCTTGTGTAGGGGGCCTTAATACTTAGAACAAGGTTTTCTGGTCATCATCCAGCCCCTATGGTACTTCTGGAAGAGATGGCCCAGTCTTGGCCCCATAAGCTGGCGTCGTTAACGTCATTAACGTCATGGCCTCGACCTGGGCGGTTGCCTTCTTCTTCTCCCTCTTCTCTGCTGCTTCCAAAGTACGTCAGAGCTGGGGAGCTCATGAGAGGTGGAGCCTTCGGGCTTAAACATACTTAGGCCCTTAAACAACAATGTTGGTACGAGGGTTAGGGGGGGAACGCCTCACGACGGCTCCCGACCCGAGTTCCGCCCGAAACCATGCCGGCCGCGGCTGGTCAGAGCCACGAACAGGTCCGTGACCACCTGGTTTCCTGTCATTCTGCTCGGCGTAGGCGTGGCTCTGTTTGTGACATAAGCTTGCGTTAGTCTAGGGCTCAGGGTTTCACATCTTTCTGGGTGGTTCATGACGTGAGCCTACACTTCCAGGGCATGATGGCAGGTGTGCCACTAACCGCAGCAATCTCGAGCCCGCAAGCCGTAACTTGGTGCAACACTCTCCGGAGAAGTACACGATCAGCCCATATCAGCCGCCTCACCCTAAGCGCTCCAGCCCCACCCCTCGGAGTTGCAGGCGGCCATAGTTAAAGCAGGAACGGCTTCTCGCCCAGAACCAAACAGAAACACGCGCGAGCGCGCAGCAATCTTCAACCCAGAGCGTTGCGGGGCCTCCGGACATCTCTTCCTGCACGAGCTGCTGGGTCTTGGGCAGCGGATGGTTCCAAACCTGCTGGGTGCAGCGAGGGCTTCGGGCTCAAAAACCCCAAACCTTGGTTCAAAACCGTTCAAGCTTTCGATCTGCAGAACTTCCTTGTAAATCGGTGAGATTGACGCACCTGGCTTTACTGTTAGATGGTGCCGATGAGCAGTTTTGGCAGAAACAAGATGACACGGAAGATGAAGCCTTCAGGGCAAGGATAGCAACAACATCCAGGTCCATCAACTCGAAGCCTAAAACCATGACCAGACAAACCGTGCTTCAGTAGAAAACCCTTTGTTTCTACTCCTTCTTCAAGCTCAGACTTCAGGAATGCTCGCACATGGTGCGAAAATAGGAAGGACGACCTGGCCATGTTGCCCTGTTGAACAGCCCGCGCCTGGACCTTGCTGTCGTTGAAGCCTGAGGAGCTCGGCTTTGCTTTGGTTTGCGTTCGGACACTTTAGGGGCCTTTTGCTTCAAGGTGTTCGACCTCAGAGCCGTAATTGTGCTGAGAGTCTCTATACTATTAAGATTTCTTTGGCGGAAGACGCAACGTGGCGGAGTATGTGCGTGCGCTTGTGCCCGGAAAACATGGGCGGCCATCAAGCTCTGCATCACACCCCTCTCTCTCTCCCCTTCTTTTCCTCTCTCTCTCCCCCTCTCGTTGCCTCGCTGGTATGAGAGAAAGGCTTTTCTTCTGGAATTTCCTTCCGGTTTACTCCATATTGATTTATGTAGACTTAAACGACAACCATGTAAATAGCACTAAACAGCCAGTTTGTGGACGCTGGAAAGACGGTTCACAAAGCTTTCATCGCTGGCCCTGGCCCACATGATTCAACCTTGGAGTGCGTGGAGCTCGGAGCGGAATGCGGAGTAGAGAATGGCCGTGCAGACTAATTGGGTTTAGGGTTTAGGGTTTAGGGTTTAGGGTTTAGGGTTTAGGGTTTAGGGTTTAGGGCTTAGGGCTTAGGGCTTAGGGCTTAGGGCTTAGGGCTTAGGGCTTAGGGTTTAGGGTTTAGGAGAAGAGGTAGGGAGAGCAGGGAGGGCAAGTGAGAGACCGGAGAAGTTGGGGGCTTTCCGACATTAGGGTACCTTACTTGGGGGGGGGTCCTTGTTCTCAGGGAATCCTACTGGGGTCTATATTAGGGGTCCCTTATTTTCGTAAACCCCCGTATGAAACCGAGTACCTTGGGAGCGGAGGACAGAGTGAAGTGACGAAGTGACCAATGCCTGCCTTCTCTGCCTTCTCAAAGCAGTAAGGCCCATCCATACAAGCAAGCAAATGTCACAAAACCACCCCCAGAAGCCCTTTTGGAAGTCACAATCTACAGGTCGAGGGCCCAGAAATTTGAAGAAACTGGGAGTCCCTGGCCCAACAGCCGCATGCGAGCGTTGTTCCAGAGATTGACCATGATGGGCACGCCGTGATAGGCCTGCTTCAGCGCGTCATTCGGGACTCTTAAAGGGCTCCTTGCGTACTCTCCGTGCTCTCAAAGTTTGGGGGCCCTTACAGGGCCTGGATTCTGTGGATGTAGGGAGCATGCATCCTGCACAGCCCAAGAACAGCTGCAATTTCTTTGTGGGGGGGTGACACTCAATGAACTCCCACTACGAGACTCTTACGCCAAAAGCTTCCGAGCTCTGCGGACCCTCCCTAGACTCAACAGCGCGCCTCACGCTTGAACCACATCGTCAGATTTGCTTGCCCCCCTTCTGCCTCGGCAACCAGCCACAGCTGCGATTCCTAGTTCTTCCCGGCTCTGGCTGCAGTTCATTTAGCCAGGCAGCGCCCGACAATGAGAAGGCGCCGTAGCTGTTGATGAGCTCTTGCCGCACACCTGCCCGCTTGCAACGAGTCGGGATCCAATCGCTCAAGTACTTGAGATTGGCCCACGCCCAAACCACAGCACACTGCGTGACTAACTGTCTGACATGTACATGGAAACCATATGAGACCACAGGACACCCAGAAAACCGCTGCACAGACCTTAAAGGGGATTGGGGGGCCATGAGAACTTGACTCGTTGGTCCCAATCCGGCATCAAGCTTGAAACACTTGGCTTTCCCCACAAAAAAAAACAAGTAGCTGAGCCAGGAACCCCTCCAAAAACAAATACTCAGAAGCCTTATAAAGTCAGCATCTGAGATACTGAAATTGCAGCTATCAACAACAACGTCTAAACCCTAAACCCTCAACCCTTAAAAAAAAACATGCTCTCTCGGCCTGGGTCCATGAGGTGCTTTCCCATGAGGGTTCCTGCACCTTAAGGACGGGTTGTGCGTGGGCGTTTATACCTATTATGGGTGTTTATAGGGTATGTAGGGTTTCTAGGGTTTACAGCGTTTGTAGGGTTTACAGGGTTTTGTAGGGTTTGTGGCCTTTGTGGGATTTCATTACAAGGCTTTGATACTTAGGAAGGCACATAATGAGAGAAGTCTGTCAACTCCAAAGGCCCTTTGCAGCCCCTGAGGCCGGTGCCCGTCATCTTGATGCTGTCTCCAGCTCCTACTCCTTCCCACGGCAGCAAGGGAAGGTTTAGGGTGTATAGGGAGTAGGGTTTAGAGGGAGTCCGGTTTAGGGTTTTGGGTTTAGGGAGGCTGCGGGTGTAGGGCGCGGGGTTTGGGGGACAAAAGCCCGGTACACTTTCTGCCTGGTCTCTTGGCTCCTAACGCGTCTAACCCCAGCCAGGACATGAATGTAAACCACAATGGGGTTTGAGGTGGGGCTCATTAGGGCTTGTAGAATATTGGCCAGTAATTAAAAGGGTTCCTATAGAGGTTCTGGGAGGGGCTTGGGGTGTGTAACGTGGAAGCCATGGGAGCCCAAAGCAGTGCAACCCCTCTCCTTGTTCGAAAGCGCGCACGTAGCGTCGAGAGAACGTGGAATTCAGCCTCTGGTGCAGCACGCTGAGACACGCGCCACCCGGCTGGAGCTCTTTTTTTCGATCTTGCTGTCTTCCTCAATGTCCTTTTGCTTTTGTTTGCCCATTATAGGGTTCGTACGCCCCATTTCCTGGGTTTCTCTCGGAAAACCTCTATATTGCCTCCGAGTTCTTACTTTCACTCGGTTTTTCCCTAAGAAACGAAGTCCCCGTGCGCCTCCGAGTTCATATAGGCGTTCGAAAATGTTCGTGGAAATAGCACTCGTTTGGTTCGTTTCCTTTTGGCTTTCCTTAGTCCAAAAAAGCGGGTTTTGATTGAATACGTTCCGGCGTTTCTAATTCAAGTTCTCTTCTAGGCATGAAGCTTCAAAGCGCAGGGTGGGGGGTTGGGGGGTTGAGGGGGGTTGAGGCGGTTGAGGGGGTTGGGGGGGGTTGAGGAGGTTGAGGCGGTTGAAGGGGGTTGAGGGCTTTTCAGTTGCAAACACAATGCTCGCTGCACGGGTTTGGAATGGTAATAATAATATCGCTCCTTGCTTTCTTACTTACTTTCCTTCCTTCTCTCTTTCTTCCTTTCCGTTCTCTTCTTCCTCGATCCTCTTCAGACCCAGGCCCTCTCTCTTCGAGAACTTTGAGGTTTCCCGGTTTAAAAACATAAAGGAAATAGAGGTTGAAGTTTTCTTCGTAAAAAAGAGAAAATGGAGGCTTTCCCCCAACAAATCCAAAAGAAACGAGGCTTTCCTTCAGAAAACCCTAAACCCTAAACCCTCAACCCTAAACCCTCAACCCTAAACCCTAAACCCTAAGCCCTAAGCCCTAAACCGAATTGACATGCGTGACTTGGGGGAGGATCTGAACCGCCAGAACCCAAGAGAGCCGGAGCCCTAACCCTAAAACGCCCCGACTCTGACTCTGGCTTCTTGCTTTTGGGGTGCTTTGGGGAGCTTTGAACAGGAACTTGGGGGCTTAGGTCAGGGAGCTTCGAACCCTTAGCCCTAAACCCTAAACCCTAAACCCTAAACCCTAAACCCTAAACCCTAAACCCGTGCAGGGCTCTCGGCAAGTTGAGGATTCATGGCTTAAGTGGGGAGGGTCTCGATCCCCCCCTCCCCCTACGGCCCCGGGCTCATCCGCGAAGGGCATCATGTGATCGGAGACTTCACGCCTGATTCGGCGGTTCGGGTTTTAGGTGGTTTCTGCCAGTTCTCCAAGTTGCGACCTTTTTTTGGGTAGCCCGCACTTTATGGTTGAAGGTCTTAGGGTTTCGGGCTTCGGGTGTAGGATTCGGCGTTGGAATGCAGGAACCCTAAACCCTAAACCCTAAACCCTAAACCCTAAACCCTAAACCCTAAACCCTAAACCCTGAACTAAACAGTGAAATGCCGAGGGCCCCGACTCTCTCTTCCACCATCCCTGGGGACCTTTTTTTGTTAGGGGATACCGTGGTGCCCCCATTCCGACTGAGCTAAACCCTAAACCCGAAGCCCTAAACCCGAAACCCGACACCCGAAACCCTAAACCTTATCCGAGGGACCCGAATTCCGAAACTCCCGCACTTTTTCAGATCTCCGGGGTCGTTGCTGACCGCCGCTCCAGACTGTTCCCGTGAACCTGGGCCCCCGCCGCTTAGTTGAGCTGAGGAGTTGAGGGGTTAGGGTTTAGGGTTTAGGGTTTAGGGTTTAGGGTTTGGGGTTTAGGGGCTTTGGGTGTTTCTTTCAGTATGTTTGTTGGCTTTTGTGGGTGGGTGTTGTTGGCTTTGGGTGTATTGGAATGTACTTTGGGCGTTTTGTGATTGGGTGCTGTTGCCTGTTTCGTGGGTTTGTTTGTTTTTTGATGTTTTTTTGATGTTTTTTGATGTTTTTTTTGTTTTGTTTTTTTTTTTTTGGGGGGGGGGGGGGGGGGGGGGGTGTTTTTGCACGCCACTCGGTAAGATTTAGGGCTCAACAGATTTCGGAAGCTCCTAGACCCTACAATGAGCATGGGAGAACATTCTGAGAGTAGTGAGATGAGTTGGGCAGCTTTCCAAATTTGGGCTTACCTTGGGTTCTGATTACAAGGGTGCCGTATTCTTTAGGGCCCAGAAGAGGGTGGCCGGACCTCCCTTTCCGTTTATGGTTTCGGGTGTGGGGGTTCGGGTGCTCCAGCGGCAGATCCGCAAACCTTCCCCAAGAGAAAATAGAAAGACCAACACGTGGTCCCGTTGTAGGACCCCTATGATACTAGGGTCCCTGATAATCAAGGTGGCCCAAAACAGGACCATAGTTAAGAGAACTGACCAAATAAACTTCCCAAGATGTGCCCAATTCTGGGTTCTCTACACCCTAAAACCTACATAAACCCTAAACCCGAAACCCTAAACCCTGAACCCCAAGCCCCTTTAGATTCAACCCTGAGGCCCAATTGTGGGCGCCCGGGCTGGTCGGTTGACAAACGCAGGGGGGGCTCATCCACCTGGACCTCCAGAATCCTGGCACAGGAGAGGGGGGGGGGGGTTTAGGGTTTAGGGTTTGGGGTTTAGGGTTTAGGGTTTAGGGTTTGGGGTTTGGGGTTTAGGGTTTAGGGTTTAGGGTTTAGGGTTTAGGGTTTAGGGTTTAGGGTTTAGGGTATAGGGTTTAGGGTTTAGGGTTTAGGGTTTAGGGCTCCTTTTCTGGTAAGGCGCACTTTATTATGCTGTATTATCTCATTATGCCAAATTCTACTGTACTATATGTATTTGTATGTACCCAAGGTACCCCAAAGCGAGAGAGGAGAGGGAGAGAGAGGGAGAGAGAAGGCGCCCTAAACCCTAAACCCCAAACTCCAAACCCTAAACCCTAAACCCTAAACCCTAAACCCTAAACCCTAAACCCTAAACCCTAAACCCTAAACCCTAAACCCTAAACCCTAAACCCTAGAGAGAGAGAGAGAGAGAGAGAGAGAGAGAGAGAGAGAGAGAGAGAGCTCGAAGCGCGCTTGTTTTCCGCCGACACCACGCCGCTCCGCCCGATGGTTTTGAGATGCGCCTCCCAGAGTGCCATCTTCCTGGCAAAGCCGGGTTTAGGGTTTAGGGTTTAGGGTTTAGGGTTTAGGGTTTAGGGTTTAGGGTCCAGGGTTTAGGGTCTGGATGGGTTTGGTTGAGGATTGAGGGCTTCGGGTTTTGGGTTTTGGGGCCTTTAAGGCGTAGACACAGGGAGAAAGGTAGCTACTTGTTGCAGGGATGAAGTTTGACATACGAATATACTCACATCATGATATCATGATGTTTATGATTGATGTATTTATATGCACATATATAATGATTTAATCATATGGGGGTTCCGAAATTCGGGGTACCTTTATTGGGGTCCTCATGATAGGGGAATCCTGCTCTTTGGGGTCGATCATAGAAGTCCCTTATCAAACTCTGAACCTTACTAAACCCTAAACCGTAAACCCTAAACCCTAAATACAATAATATAATCATATAATGATATGCAGCGCTGTGGAAAGCCGAGACTCTCCGCCACTGGAAGGTGCCGATCCTTGGAGGAATGCGGCATCAACCACGCCCGCCTACGGCCCTCCCGCAGACCCTGAGACAAAGCGCAAAACCAACTGTTCTGCTATCAATATTATTCTTACTGTTGTTAGTATTTTTACAGCATTAACTTATTTCACATTCTGAACACAACCCCCCCCCCCCAAGACGTGCGAGTTGCATTGCTGTTGCACGGTCTGTAGCCCCCCCCCCCCTCCCTCCCCCCCTCCCCCCCCTCCCCCCCCTCCCTCCTAATCATGTCGAGGCCGTGCTGCCAGCATGAGCCTCGGGTCGATGAGCAGCGTGTCGAAGACGTGGCTGTTCAGCAAGCACTCCTGGGCGGCTGGTTTTGGGGGGGGGAGTTCGGGGGGTCGATCTGCTGCGCTTTCCACTTCTTCACCTTTTGGGGGATGCAACCGAAGGAGTGCGGACAAAAATGACCCAAAAACGGAGAGGGCGTGGGAAAACAAGGCAGTAGGGAGATCTGCCAAGGCTCGCTGTCAGCATACCTGGCCGTCACTGGGTGTCAGGTGCAGCTTCGGCTTACATGGGGCCCTGAGGGCCGAAGGCTCTCAAATCTTGCCATTTCAGGATTGTGGGTTTAGGGTTTAGAGCTTAGGGTTTCGGGTTAGAACCCAGAACCTTGATCTCACGGATGTCCTCGTGCCCAACCCAATCCACAAGCGAGAGCAAAAGCAGGGGTACCATAATCCCTGTTAAGGAATGTTAGTACAAAGGGGGAACATCCCAAACCCTCAGCTCCCCAAAAAGCCCGCAGCGCGCGCCTCTGGTACCACGCGTCTTCCAAGCCCTCCTCGCAGGGCGCTTTTGGCACAAGGCCTCTTGGGACTTAGCCAGAGGCCTTGCTGGGTGAGCGCGTTTTGTTTAACGAAATCACACACACACACACACACACACACCCGCGCGCGCACACACACACACACACATATATATATATATATATATATGTAAGAGGAACCTTTATGTATTATTAGGCATGTCCTCTTTGTTTTAATACTATTCTACACTACTGAAGGTTTAGGGTTTAGGGTTTAGGGTGTAGGCTCAGGACTCATCGGGTGTAGGGTTTAGGGCCTAACCCCTAATGAACCCAGAATGCTAAACCCTGAACCGAATGCGCTTTTTTATCAGAGAAGAGGAGGGAGAGAGAAGGAGAGAGGATAGCTAAAAGGGATTGCATTTTTAATGGGAAGAGCAAAGAAAAGAATAGAAGAGAGATGAGTAGAGAAGAGGGAGAGACAAAACAAGGCGCAGAGATAATGGCACTCTTCTTTATCTATCCTCTCTCCCTTGTCTCTCCCTTCCCTCTTTCTTTTCGAAATGAGAAAAACAAAAAGGAAGAACTATGAGAAGGAGAACGGTAAGGAAGGAACAGAAGAGATAGGTCGAGAGGAGGATTATGATGAAGTATTATGGAATGGTCCATGCGCAAGGAGTCACCCTCTGCTTACCCTTCCACTTCTTTATTATCTTTCTTGTGTTTTATCAGTTAAAAGGAAGCAGAAGAAGGGAAAGGGAAGTGAGAGAGGAGAGACAACGAGGAGGCCATTTTAGTTTTCTGGAAGGGTTCTGAAAAGAAGGGAAGAGACAAGAAAGAAGGAGACGAAGGAACATAACAAGGCGCAAAGAAGATGCAACTCGTCTTTATCTATCATCTCTCCCTTCCTTGTCTCTCCCTTTTCCCTCTATAATTAAAAAAGACAAGACTGTTCTTGCTCTTCGCAGATAGGTTCCCTCTCTCCTCTTCAGGAAGCCCCCCTTGCCCTTATTTTGCTTGCCTTTCTGAAACGACAAGTTAAAAAACACATAGAAAGAGAGGACAGGGAATGAAACAGTAGGCAGTGGAGCTCGTCAATGTTATTCCCTATCCTTTTTCTTCTTTTTCTTTTTCGTTCAAAAAGGGAAAGAAGCTTCCTTCTGTGTGTTTTTGAGATTTAAAGGAGAATAAGAGAAGAGAAGGGAGAGAAAAGAGAGAGGAGTTATCAAAAGGAATGCAATATTAAAGGGAAGAGCAATAAAAAGAATGGAAGAGAAATGAAGACAGGAGAGGGAGGTGCAAAAATAAGGCAAAGACAAGATGGTGCCGGGTTCATCTTGCCTCTCGTTCTTATCTTTCTCTTTTCTGGTTCTTTTCCCTTTGAAATAAAAAACAAAAGGAAGGACAATGAACATGTAAAGGAACCCGTTTTCGTTCTCTGTTTGGGCACTAGGAAAAGAACAGAGGCGGTAGGGCGAGAGGAGGGGTTTGCTGAAGCCTGGGGAGGGTCTACGGGCAAGGAGCCAACTCCGCCCACTTCCCCCATCCATTGAAAGAGGAGAAGAGAGGAACAGGGCCTCCATCCCCCTCTTATTCTTCCTTTCTTGCGTTCTTGTCGTTTAGAGGGGAACAGGAGAAGAGGAAGGAGAGAGAAGGATAGAGGAGGGATAAAAGGATTGCCTTTTTGATGGGAAGAGCAAAGAAAAGAATAGAAGAGAGATGAATGGAGAAGAGGGAGAGACAAAACAAGGCGCAGAGAAAATGGCACTCTTCTTTATCTATCCTCTCTCCCTTGTCTCTCCCTGCCCTCTTTCTTTTCGAAAAGAGAAAAACAAAAAGGAAGAACTATGAGAAGGAAAAGGGTAAGGAAAGGAACAGAAGAGACAGGCCGAGAGGAGGAATATGATGGAGTATTATGGAAAGGTCCACGAGCAGGGAGTCACCCTCTGCTTAGCCTTCCACTGCTTTATCATATGAGTTCCTTTCTTGTGTTTTATCAGTGAAAAGGAAGCAGAAGAAGAGAAGGGAAAGGGAAGTGAGAGAGGAGAGATAAAGAGGATGCTATGTTTCTGGAAGCGTGCTGCAAGGAATAGAAGAGACAGGAAGCAAGGAGACGGAATCACAAAATAAGGCGCAAAGCTGCACATATCATCTCTCCCTTGTCTCTCCCTATTCCCTTTCGAATTAGAAAAAACCATTCTTGCTCTTCACAGATAGGTTCCCTCTCTCTTCTTCAGGAAATTCCCTTTCCCTTATATTGCTTTTTGAAGCGAATAAGAAAAATAGCAGATAAGAAGAGAGGAAAGGGAATGACTAAGTAAAATGAGGAGTTCTGCAATTTCCCTCCCTATCTCTTATGCTACTTTTCCTTCTTGCGGGCGTCCCATTTCCTCCCTTGAAGATGCAGAAAACGATTGAAAAGGACACCCGTTCGATCGCCCATATGTAGGGAGAGAGAGAATCATGAGCATCAGCTGGGTTTGCTGCCAATCCAAAATGGGCGTCCTTTTTAATCGCTTTCTGTGTCTTCAAACGAGCAAAAGGGGCACCCTCAGTGTTTTCTTTTGGGTGTCGTTTTTGCTCGCTTGAAGATGCAGAAAACGATCCAAAAGGACACCCGTTGGAGGGAGAGAGAGAGAGAGAGAGAAGGAGAGAGGAGAGACACAAAGGATTGCATTTTTAATGGGAAGAGCAAAGAAAAGAATAGAAGAGAGTTGAGTGGAGAAGAGGGGGAGACAAAACAAGGCGCAGAGAAAATGGCACTCTTCTTTATCTATCCTCTCTCCCTTGTCTCTCCCTTCCCTCTTTCTTTTCGAAAAGAGCAAAACAAAAGGAAGAACTATGAGAAGGAAAAGGGTAAGGAAAGGAACAGAAGAGACAGGCCGAGAGGAGGAATATGATGGAGTATTATGGAAAGGTCCACGAGCAGGGAGTCACCCGCTGCTTACCCTTCCACTGCTTTATCATATGAGTTCCTTTCTTGTGTTTTATCAGTTAAACAGAAGCAGAAGCAGGGAAGGGAAAAGCAACAATTGAGCCCAAAATCTCAAGGACCAGGGCTTGCGATTTGACTCTTTGGAGCAAAAATGGAACGCAAAATCTTAGAACCAGGGCTTGTGATTTGACTCTTCGGAGCACAAACTGAGCCCAAAATCTTAGGGACCAGGGCTTGCGATGTTACTCTTTAGCCCAAAAGTGAGCCCAACATCTTAGGGACCAGGGCTTGCGATTTGACTTTTAGCGCAAAAAATGAGCCCAACATCTTAGGGACCAGGGCTTGCGATTTGACTCTTTGGAGCAAAAACCGAGCCCAATATCTTAGGGACCAGGGCTTGCGATTTGACTCTTTGGAGCACAAATCGACCCCAAAATCTTGGGGACCAGGGCTTGCGACCTCACTCTTTGGAGCAAAAACTGAGCCCGAAATATTAGGGACCAGGGCTTGCGATTTGACTCTTTGGAGCAAAAACTGAGCCCAACATCTCAGGGACCAGGGCTTGCGATTTGACTCTTTGGAGCAAAAATCGACCCCAAAATCTTAGGGACCAGGGCTTGCGATTTGACTCTTTGGAGCAAAAATTGAGCCCAAAATCTTAGGGGCCAGGGCTTGCGATTTGACTCTTTGGAGCAAGAAATCAGCCCAAGATCTTGGGGACCGGGGCTTGCGATTAGACTCTTTGGAGCAAAAACTGTACCCAAAATCTTAGGGACCAGGGCTTGCGATTAGATTTTTTGGAGCACAAATCGGCCCCAAAATCTTGGGGACCAGGGCTTGCGATTTGACTCTTTGGAGCAAAAATTGTGCCCAAAATCTTAGGGACCAGGGCTTGCGATTTCACTCTTGGAAAGAAACTGAACCCAAAATCTTAGGGACCAGGGCTGCGATTTGACTCTTTGGAGCAAAAACTGAACCCAAAATCTTAGGGACCAGGGCTTGCGATTTCACTCTTGGGAGCAAAAACTGAGCCCAAAACCTTAGGGACCAGGGCTTGCGATTTGACTCTTTGGAGCAAAAACTGAGCCCAACATCTCAGGGACCAGGGCTTGCGATTTGACTCTTTGGAGCAAAAACTGAGCCCAAAATCTTAGGGACCAGGGCTTGCGATTTGACTCCTTGGAGCAAAAATGGAACCCAAAATCTTGGGGACCAGGGCTTGCGATTTGACTCTTTGGAGCAAAAACTGAGCCCAAAATCTTAGGGACCAGGGGGTGTTGTTTGACTCTTTAGCGCAAAAAATGAGCCCAACATCTTAGGGACCAGGGCTTGCGATTTGACTCTTTGGAGTAAAAATTGTGCCCAAAATCTTAGGGACCAGGGCTTGCGATTTGACTCTTTAGCGCAAAAAATGAGCCCAAAATCTTAGGGACCAGAGCTTGCGATTTTATTCTTCGGTGCAAAAAACTAGCCCAAAATATTAAGGGCCAGGGCTTGCGATTGGTTTGGTTTGTTTGGTTTGTCTGAATAGTTTGAATAGTTTGAATAGTTTGAATAGTTTGAATGGGAGGCCCGGCTCGTAATTTAGTATTGGGGGGAGGCCCGGGCTCGTAATCTAGTATTGGGGGGAGGCCCGGGCTCGTAATTTAGTATTGGAGGGAGGCCCGGGCTAGTAATTTAGTATTGGGGGAAGCCCGCGCTCGTAATTTAATATTGGGGGGACCCCTGCCGGGACCAACTATCTAAACTATCTAAACTATCCAAACTATCTGAACCCACCTGGTTTAGATAGTTTAGATAGTTTTGGTAGTTTTGGGCCCACCCGGGACCCAACCGCCCCCCAAAACTACCTAAACTACCTAAACTATCTAAACTATCTAAACTATCTAAACTATCTAACCCCCCCCCCCGGTTTAGATAGTTTAGATAGTTTAGGTAGTTTAGGCCTCTCCCCCAACTATCTAAACTATCTAAACTATCTAAACCCCCCTGGTTTAGACCCAACCCCACCCCCCTAAACTATCTAAACTATCTAAACTATCTAAACTATCTAAACTATCTAAACTATCTAAACTATCTAAACTATCTAAACTCCCCTGGT